TGGTTTTTGTTTACACCGGTCGATGGACTTTTGCAGGCGTGCCAGAGTACTTATATAAAATACTCAAAATTATGAATGAACACCAACCTATCCCTTTTCCGTTGGCTGACTTCAAGTGAATATCTGGGAGAGAGAATAGTAAGAACTCCTAGCAAGGTTCTTTTTCTGCCTTGTTTGCAAGGACCTTTTTTATAAAGGTGTTAAAAAGAATAAAAATGCAATGTAAAGTAAATGAACTAGCTGAATTGAAATAGACAATAAGGAAACTGGTTGAATTAAAAAAGACTGAAATGTAATGTTTGCAATGGAATGAACAGGCTAAATTGGAATGACTACAATCTGAACAAAGATTTGTCATTAAATCCGTTTTCATAAAACAATGATTGAATTTGTAAATAGCATAATTAAGCATTGCAAAAAAAGAGTAAGTTATTGGAACTTAGTTTCTTCGAATGAAATTTTCCATTTGGACAAAAGATTTGAAGATAAGATGACGTTGAGTCATTTGATGAATTTTGGATTCATGCTGTTTTATGGGTGGTACTGGACGAATTGAAATGGAATTACAATAATACTATTTATAGAAGTCCTATCTAAGTAATTTATCATTATTCCTTGCTAGAAAATCTCTTCTCTTGATTCTCTCTTTTTTGTAATTCAAACTGGGTCAAACTTTGGAATACTTTGCCCTTTTGTATGCCTTCTTTCAGTTTCCAATTAAAACCTTCTTCTAATCATGGACTGGAAAACTTCCTTGCTTTAGTCAACTTCAATTGCTAATTTTTAGCAACTACTTTCTATGAATATGGTAGCCGTATCTTTCCTCAAATGACTCAACCTTTGGTACCATATCAAAGTCACTTGTCATTTTTAGATTTATCCATGTTAACGACCCTAGTTTTTAGAAACCAGTGTGTCAGTGATGATCCAAAAGTAGACCCATTAACAGGTCCAAAATGCAAAAGCAAAAGATATAGCCAATGTCTCTAGGGATGTACATCATCCCTAGGATACCAAAGTGACCTTCCATGGAGTCACGGAACTTAAAGAGGACTAAAGAAGAAACGAGGGTCAAAACGGACAATTCCTTAAATCAAGGGTAAAATGGTCAAACTACTATTGAAGAGGGAAATTTGACTCAAAACAAGTCAAATGAAGTCCATACAACCTAATCTAATCATATGACAACATTGCAAGAGGTGTTAAGGACATTGGCCAAGAATCCCATAAGATCCTCATTCCCGGTTCAAGTAAAATCTGACGCTGTCTCACTAAAACCTGAGTAACCCTCACTATGGTTTGAATCTGAGAATGGCATTTGTACCATTAGGAAGCTGACTCGAAATCATTGAGTTAAGGCTCAAGAATCACCCCATTTGGATTAGGAATGAAGGAGATATACTCCTTTGAAGTTAGAGAAACAAAGTAGTTAAACAAGCTGCAAGGTAGTTGTTATTGTGGCATTTCGGTAGGCCGAAATGGCATTCCGGTCGGCCGAAATGGACCCTGACGTACTAAAAATCTAGAAGTTATCTTGGTCGGCCGAAATGGACCCTGACGTACCAAAAATCCATACGGCCGACCGATTTAGCTATTGGAATTTGGATTTTTACTGTGCAATTAATTCCAAAAAGGCATCGGTGGACCGAAATACCATTTTCGTCAGCCGAAACACCTCGAAACCTGCTGGAAACTCTGAAAAACATGAAAAATTTGCTATGAAGCCTATGAGGTTCATCTACCCCCATACATAAGTCAAAAACTGATTTATAAGGATGAATGAACGTATAAGCATACCAACAAGCATAAATATCATATTGAATCATGTTATAATGGCTCGAAGCCTCATTACATTTCAATTGTCCAAAAACATAATTCATAAGTCCATAGATACCAAAAATGCTATAAAACATATGCTAAACACTTTGCATGATAACCAAAAGAGTGTGTCCACAATACATCATCCAAAATAAGCTAAATGTATCAACCATCCATGAAAAATATTTCTTTACCTGAAAAATAACCCAAACAACTAGGGTGAGCAATCAAGTTACTCGTAGGATGTGGTGCATGCACATACCCTATAGTTTCAAGTGTAATGCAAACCAAACATAGATCATCACAAGGGTATATTCCACTTAAAGTCTATGTTTTCAAGGTACTCTAAGTGATCATCTCAAACTATACAAGTAATTGAAATGATAAACGCATGGCATCCAAGTGTGCATACATAAGTACACTAACCATATAGAAACTTAAGCACAAATTCGCAATTTCAAGAAATCCATGATTTACAATTTGGAATTTAATGCGAAATCAAATAATGGAAAGACAAGAATATGTGGCCACGAGACCACACAAGTTATTCCGGGCAATTACGACCCGCAAAGTACTACCTAGTTCGCACTATGACTTAGAAGAATTCTTATCCCTCATACTAGAGCCAAATCCTAGCCATCAAACATTTCATATCCTTCCAAGCCTCCAAAAACAATCAACTCCATGACATTTATATACTTACAATGCATGAACTATCTACCAAGCACAAGTAGGGTGAGATCACACAAACCATGCCCTATGGTTACATGTCTAAAGTGGCAAGTTAATAATACTACACATTACACTAAATCAATTTACCATCAATGTAGGTCGCTAATCATGCAATATAGTAATTTACCTACAAGTAAACACAAGTGTCATATACAAGATTTTCATAATAAACCTTCAATGAAATTTCTATTACTTAACAATTTAAGTACTATCACCAAAATATTCATGATAAACCCCCAATGAAATCTCAAGTATTAAGCAAACCATTAAACAATAATCTACCTATTCAATGTAGTTAATCATATACATGCTTTAATTCACAATTCCTAAGTCAAGTATAATAAATCTCTACTTAAATGCAAATACAAGAATTAATAGGCATGTATTCAATATATATCAAATTTTAATATATATAAAACCCAAAGAAGATAAAGATACAACCACCCCTACCTCAATAGAGAATTGAATCTCTATAAACCAAAGCAACCAAGCTAAAAATGGAAAACCAAACTAGGGTTTTGTAAAAGAGAGTGAAGGGAAGCTAAAGTATTCCAAACTTGAGGTTCAAAAGTGAGTGGAAGGGGACCTAAATGAAGCCTAAAGCTCTAAGCCAAGTTTTTCCTTCAATGGTGGCTAAGTTAGGGTTTAAGAGTAAAAGGGTGAGAAAGATGCAATCAAATGAGGTGAGTGGAGGATTTAGTATTCCTCTACTCACTATGTGATCCTACACGATGGTCTTCACACACACTAAATGCAAGACTAAAAATGGAGCATACACTTGTCACTAATCCATGCATTCATCCAAGGCTTGATCTTAAGCCTACACTTGTCAACCATCCATGCCAACAAGTACTCATATCCTAGGCCAACAAATGGGTGAATCTCCACCCTTCATGTGTCATCATACTAAGCCTTCAAGTGGTTCCACCACAATTTCAACAAGTGGTTCCATGGGAGTGTGACACTTGTCACACTTTCCAAAAATTGCAAAAAGGTCATTTTTCAAAATATCTTTCAAATTAAATTACAAAATGGTCCCTAAGACGAAAAATAATTACTTCATTTAATTACACTAAAACCTCAAAAGTCTAGAATGTTTCTGAATAAACTATGCATCCATACCCTTTACAAGAAAAGTAAGCATCTAGCATGTTTTTCTGCAAAAGTAAAAATATACATATCATGGGAATTAAATATCACTGATCCATGCAAAGCCGAAATCAAATCCGAGCACAAAAAATGAGGTTATGCAATCGAAAACGAAAATCGGGAAAAAGACAAAAATGGAAGAAAAAAAGAAAAATGTCGAAAAAATGAAATGAGGGAAATGACCGAGTCATTACAATAACGCAGTTGCCATCCTTCATAATCTTTCCTTCTCAACTAGAATTCCTATTTTATAGGAATTTAGTTGTCGATTTTTACCCAAACTCTAATATCTCCTTTTCTGCTAACAACCCAATTTGAAAAAGGTCAACTATTAGATGCTATATTTCAGCAACTACCATATCTATTAAGTGGCTGAAATATATCTCCCTATATTCTGACATTTCCAAACTAGCCGATCCCCTTGACTCCATATTAGAAATACATGTTCGCTCCTTATTGGTCCACGTCATCGCTAAGATGACTGCCAAGTTTTGGTGCCAACACAGTCACTCCCCTACTGACCAACATAGGGTCTACCGTTGCAATTTTGGGTCTTGCACCCTAAGGTATCTTGTACCCTTTCTAAACACCCTTTTCGTCCAAGACATCATCCTCCATAGTCTCATTTCAAGCATAAAAATCAGTTCAACATTTCTATACCAACACATTTAGTTTTAAAATCTCCATGGTTAGATTAATTGTCTCTTAGCAACAAAATATAAAAGAGCACCTTAGTTTTTATTCCAGCACTAACGCAATTTTTGAAAAGGACAATACTTAGTTCCTCACTAATGAGGATCTATAACATACTTACCACTAATGTTGATCAATAATAAATTGACATGTATTCTTTAATTATCAAATCAAAAATGGTGGAAAGATATTCACTTACCAAATCGGAGATAATGATTTGATTACCATTTATAATTTGATAATTAAAATAAGACGTGTCCATTTATTATTGGTCTAAATCAGCAGTAGATATGTTGTAAATTCTCACTAGTGAGAACTCAAGTATTGTCATCCCCTTTTTAGTCTATAGAGCAATTTTATGGAAAAATCAGTTGTTAACTCGTGCTACCAAGAAAATATGGATTTTAAATAAATCTCCCAAAATCAGCAAAATTAGAGAATCCCTACCAAATATGGATTCCACTACATAGCTCTTACATATTCCAAAGCCCTCCCCCCACAAACTTAGTAAATCACATAAGGGCCCCAACTAAAGTTCCCACATTTCTATCTAATGACAAAATATCCCACGTAATTAAATATAAACAAGGACAAAACCCACTTAAGCATAATTAAATAAAGAGAAAAATATAGGATATCACATGATAATCTTGCAACAGCAGTTAAGGTACAAAATGAAAATTCAGGGTGTTACAGACATTTTCCGGGGAAAAAAAAAAAAAAAAAATTCACAATATGATATATCCATAACGTCTTAACCATAAAACCTAGTATTTAATTGCATGGTATGTATACAAAAAACCATAATAAAGATAGTCGACAGTCATCATCACATTTTTATTTAATACATGGTAAAAAAATTTGATGATGCCTTCTGAATATCTTTTTATCATTTCTTTGTGTTGGGTAGGTTCACTATGCACCTTAAAATAGATAAAAATATCACAACCATATTACAACTTGTATTATATATATGCTTTCATCATAACCAGTCTGCTAGCCGTGGAAACTGTTGCAGCAACCAAGTGACACCTCTGATAGCAACCTGCATAGAAATTAAGAGGAGGTATATTTAAGATGATGTTGGCCTCAAAATCCACAATCCACTTGCTACGGACATAGCAAGATTTTGCAGACAAGTTTAGTTATTATGCTGCAGAGGCGAGTAAATTGTGTTCAGCTTATAGACGCAAGTAAAACGTGTTCAGAATTCTTTGCCAAAACCCTTGTGATCGTGTTCAGAATTCTTTGCCAAAACCCTTGTGAACATGGATCTTACAAAAATATTTGCAGATGTTATGGCGTATTGTGGTCATGGTCTTAAATATAGGCCTACTTCGAGTAAGATTGTACAATAATTTTCATGTAGTCAACCGATATAATTGCGACAAAATCACTTACAAAGTTTGATCAATGAGAAGGTTGACATGGACAATAGTTTTCAAAAAAGAAGAAAACAAAAATGTTCGCTTGAAGAGACCTAAAGTGTTTCACCTAGATAATAAATTAGAGCACAGTAAAGGATGAGATGGGTTGGACTAATATAAGCAAGAGAAATAAAGTTGGAATCTAAAACTGTTCAACTAAAAAGTAGACTAATAAATATAGAGAATGTGACCTGGTGCAGGTTGAGGAGTTGATTTTTGAAAAAATGTAGTGCCACCTCCAATAAGCTATACTAATAAACCATAAATCTACAAGTGATGACATATGTAATCAAATTCACATAAAACCACCAAAAACGAGAGGTTTGTATGGTTCACGTTTTTTAGTACTCGGTTTTGATCAGTTGAAATGTAGAGATAGGGAAATCACATTTAAGTTTCCTATTAGATAAGCAGTTCTTGAAAAGATTTGACAAATATGAACTTCTCTGCTAAGTAAACAAGATAGTCAAAGCCATAATCAAGTAAAATATAGTTTCCTCTCTTAGGGAGGCCCAAGAAAAATAATCACAAGTGTAGAGATAAATATAAGTTGGTTTGAAATTTTGCCCAAGCTCTGATACCACTGTAGTAAGCCCGTTGATGTTGAGATTAATGATCTTGCAAAAAGATTTTTAGCAACAACCAACATAAAAGAACACAACTTGCCACCCTAAAATAAAAATATTAATGATAATAATTAAAATAAAACCAGCCAAAAAATTTAGTGGGATAAAATAATACAATGCCAAGGGACTCTACTAAATCTAAATGAGTGACATCTTCCAACACTGTTGCATGTTAATTTGAATTAGGGGCAGAGCCAAAAGTTTTGATTGGGGACTGGAGGTTTTGGTGGGGAGGAGGTGAACAAGTACCATGCAGTTCAAAACTGAAAATCTTGTCACTTGTAGTATAAATTTTTTTTCTTTTTCAAATTATTATTCTTAGTATTGTTGGTAATTTTTTTTTTTTTTTTTTTCGGAAGGTATTGTTGGGAATTATACCCCTTCATTCGGCATAGCTGAAGCAAGACACAAACAAGCATGCATAAAAATACAATATTTACGTGTTTCGGCTGAACTCGACCTACGTCCACCAAGAGAAGAAATTCCACTATAAGGAACCAAGAAGAGAATATACAATTGTGGCCATTATTGTAGAGAATGCCCACTCACTCACTGCCTCATGAGAAATTACACCGAACCGTGTACTCACACTCTCTACTTAGGTATGGTGTTAGATACTCGAGCCTTTCACGGTCTACCACTCTCTACCCACTCATTCATAATCTCTACCCACTCACGAGTTTGAGTGAAGCTGCATCTCTCTACCCTTCCCACTCTCTTCTCTTCTCGCTCACTCCTCCATTCTATTTTCTTCTCTACCTTCTCCGCCCAACTTTACGTCTATTTATATGGTTTCAAACCCAATTCCTTGTTGGACATTGATTACAATTCTTTGGAGCCCGAGACTTGTGTAACAAGAAATTACTTAATGAAATACAACTCTAAAAATAGAAACCTAATTAGACTAGAATTTGAGAGATAATACATAACAACTATATATATTGAGGAAAATACAATTCAAACAATGAGAAAAAGTGCAACTAAAATAAGTAGAGATGAAAACCAATTAATATGGAAAGATTTATGAGTCAGACATAGAGAAGGGGAAAGGATAAGTTAAAGGTAAAAAGAGAAGTTGTTAAAGTAACACATTGTTAAAGAATTAAAAATAAAAAATAAAATCAACAATTGTTTCAATATTTCCCAAAAAAAAAAAAAATTAGTACTTTGATTTCACTGTGAGGAAGATATTCATTAAGAGAAGAAATGTAACATTTAAACCTCAAAAAGTTCTTAGCATATAAAATTTGGCATTTAACAAACAACAACAAAGAATATTAGCATATATGAAAAAGTTATTGTTGTTGGCATTTTTGTTTTCTTGGTATCACAATTCCTTAGTTTTCCCTAATTCACAATGTCCCTATGACTCGCCGATGGAGATTAACATATAATTCCAAAAAAAAAATCCTGCAAACACCACTTAACGAAAATGTCTGAGAAGGAAGGCTTATGTATTATTAAATATGAGGGGACATTAGTGTAATTTTTCCTTTATTTTTCTCTTGAATTCATATAGTGGATATTATACACGTGTATATTTAAATATAAAATGAAGTAATGATATATCGCAGTAAAGAACCATAGCAATGAACTTATATTTTGTTTGACAAGATGTGAGCTTTCAAAAGTAGACTAAAAAGGTTTAAAATTTTCTAATAGTTGTGAAGGGACACAAGTTATATTTAATTCTAAACTCACAATTTTTGGGGCAATAAATAAGTGTTTTTAAAATTTTGTGATGACCAATTAAAATTTTCTATTAGTTTGGGGACCACGAGTTAAGTTTATATATAATATCTTTTTTGGGGTTATTAATAAATGAGAAATTTGAAAAAATTTAGAGGGAGCATGGTGGCCCCTAGCCCCTCGTCCTCTAGCTCCACAGCCTCCACCCCTGGTTTGAATGACTGCCTGATCTTTTGGGCCCAAGACACTCGAGATCAGCATAAGAAATATTCAGTGCATACAACTGCCGGCTGCAAAACTCCTTCGAGGTTTTGGAATTATTAAGTCCAGTATGAGCCATTCATTTTGAGAAGATTGCCATTAAACTCAATAATTTGGTTATGACGAATACAGGAGGAACCCAAGAGCCAGAAACTGAAGCTATATACAAATCATATCACCGAAAAATCTAAAAGAGAAATAAAAATAGAAATTTTATAGAATCCGAGATTATCCAGACATCCAATAATGAGAAATATTCAGTATTGCCTTTTTTTAACTTATGAAAAGAGATCCCCACGTACATGCCCAAAAGTTTGCCCACATTGCTCCCACAGAACACAGCCCAAACTCCCCATAGACAGAGGCAGAATCCAGTGCACATCAGTCCCTTACAACGATATGCACTACAAGTTTTGCACTACAGTATGACAGAGAAGATTGGTGCTCTACTCAAACCTCTTACACAGAATGCTTTAAGTTTGCTCCATGGTTGCAGTCTAAACAGAGAAAGATATACTATAAAAATGGCTTAACCTTGCAAATAACAAAAAAGGAAGTCGAGCCTGTCACTCCATCAGAGAAACTTTTAGAATGATTTTCACTCCGAACAGATCATGACTGTAAGGAATCCATCACAAAGCATCCTATCCCCGCCCGCATATAAAATAATCATAGTTGTTCTTAGAGAAGGCGTCAACAGAGTCCAACTCCCAATCATAAAGAGATCTAGATGACGTCCCCACTGCATTCTATTTCTCCAAAAACCAGACAATCATAGAAAGCGCCTATGTTTCAAGGAATTCAGAATTATTTGAGGAACAAAACTTTTTTTTTTTTTATAAGTAAAGAATCAATAAAAAGCGTTCAGAAGGGGAGCGCGTCCCATTTACAAGAACAAAACGTAGACCTATGGACCCAATGAATCCAAGAAATCAACAACATCGTCAGAAGAAGAACAATGTCTCCCCTTCACCCAACTACAAATAGATCGAATAATATGAAGTTTCAAAGTTTCCGTAGACACTTCCAATCCTTCAAAACATCTGTTGTTCCTCTCTCTCCATATGCACCACCAAACACAATGTGGAATGGTCCACCAACACTCACGAGCATGACCCCCCACAGGACATCCCCTCCACACTTTAAGCCCCTTGTGGACCGGGGCATCACCCAAGAAATACCGAACAATCCGAAAATAGATTCCAGCAATCATGTACCACAGGGCAGTGTAAAAGTAAGTGAACCGTAGACTCACCATCATTTTTACATAGACAACACCGATTGACCATAATAACGCTTCGCTTCCTCAGGTTATCTAGTGTCAAAATCTTTCCCTACACGACAGTCCACACGAAGAATGCCACCCAAAGTGGAGCCTTAGAAAGCCAAATAGTCTTCCAAGGGAAAGCGACACCAGCAAAGTTGGACAGACACACAAACAAAGAACAAACCTCGAAACCTCCATGGGAAGAGGGAACCCACAGAAGAGCATCATCACCTATGCCACCAACCTCCTGTTGATACAACATATCCAGAAAAGCGCAAGCCTCGTCCATCTCCCAGTCCTAAAAAGAATGCCTAAAACGCACATCCCACGTAATCCCACTACCATCAAGCCGATAGCAATCAACTACAAAGGCAAGTCTATCAGTAGCGACTCTAAAAAGCCTCAAGGAAGAGCAAGACAACGGCTGCTCGCCGCACCATTAGTCCTCCCAAAACCGAACACGTCTACCATCCCGAACTTTGAATCTGATATGAGAGGAAAAATCATCCCATCCTTCCCGAATAAATTTACACACGCCAACTCCTTAAGCGTTAAGGACTGTCAAGCGTTAAGGACTGGGCATGAAGACCACCCACCTCTCTCTTCCCCATACCTACATGAAACAATCCTCCTCCACAGGCACTATCTTTCTCTTCCAAATCTCCACAACCACTTGCCTAATAGGACTCTATTAAAGGGAATCAGCCTCCTAATGCCTAGACCACCCAACTTTACGGGCTTGCAAATCTGCTCCCACTTGACAAGATGGTACTTG